GTCTGTTTTTTCTTACACCAGAGGCAGTGGGGAGGGGTAAGGGGAGCACAAGGTTTAGTACATGGGTCATGCAATTTTTTTATCTTCGAAAAATTTACTCTTGCTTATTAACACAAAATTGCACTCGAAATCACGTTATCACTTATTAATAGTTTATAACGGTAATTGAACCACCGGGTAAGTGGAGTGCAATTTGGTCGGAAATCATAAACGTAATTTGATTTCAGATCAAAATTGCCCAACAGGAAGTTATTACATCCATTTTGAAACTTCAAAACTCATTTGGTCAGATACAGGATTCTTTACTATGTAAAAATGTTTTGTTGATCCTCTAGTGAGCTGGTTTGGGAGAAAGTTGCAAAGTTCTTTTTTCATTTTCTTGCAATTTGATTAGTTTCTTTACAAAGGCAATTGGTTGTTGTATCTTGGTAAAGTTTTCTTGTTGACTGGGAAGAAAAATGCAATTTAGAGCAAAAAATGGTGCAATTGGCAAAAAGATTGCACCAATAAGAGCCAGTCAGATTTCAAGAATCACCAGTGATTTAAAAATGAATGTGATGAAAATTAAAAAACATGACAGAAAGTCAAGATAGACCAAATTTTTAAAGCGTGCTTGCACTATTTGTATTTTGCACTCATGTTGCAACTTTGCACTCATGTTACATGAAAAATGCACTTCTTTTCAGCCAATCAGAAGCATGTGATTTTTTCTGGTAGATACAATCTATGATAGGGGGAAGACCATATATCTGATCAGAAAATCAAACAACCATTTATTAACTTTCTTTATTACAAGATATGCACGACAAAATTATGCATTGAAAGTAAATACATACCAATAGCTAATACTTTACACCCTGAATTGTTTACAATTAAACTTTACAATTTATAGACTATACTCAAAGAAAAAAAGAAAGGCAGAAATGTCTGCAGCTGGATAATTTAATTCACAGGTACAATCACTGCATGACCACCAGACTTAAAGCAGACTCACCAATTTTCTATTCATTGTTGGTATGCTTTGTTCCATTAGTGTGCTAGTATAATGGTACTTTCACTCAATCAATTAACCCTTTCTCTCTGAAGATCATATTAATAATTCTTCTTAAAGTCTGTTATACAATTATACAGTGTTCATAGTGCATTCCTCCTATCTTAGTTTATACCCCAAGCAATTTTATAGAAGTTTCTGTCACACATTATAAGTAAAGCAATAACACATGGTCAATATATTACTTTCTGTCATTTTAAGTATGGTCAAACTTCTGTTACAGGGAAAAATAAGTCATCTTGAAATGGTCATAACTAGCAGCTAATGAACCAAATCAACTATAGCATAGAAGGGCTGCTTTATGCCCAAATGTGTGAGAGAGATGATTTTACCACAGAAAGAAAATGCTAGGAAAAGAACAGGTGTTTTCTCGTCTTTGTTTGGGGAAACCAAATAGTTTTACCCTTTTAAAAACCAGTGTCAAGGTAGTTAAAAATTAAAAAAAATATATTTCTTTTTCGACTAGTCACGAGAATTTGAATGTTATTTGATGAATAAAAACAAAGTTGACACTTCCTATAAATCTTGACGATGTTCTGCTAGAGAGTGTATGAAAAAGGTAATTGAATTTATGGCAAAATGGGATGGAAAGATAGTAAAAGAAGTTTGTCCATAGCTGTTCATCATCATCAAGGGAGTTGTTGCACTTTGATTTGGACACCAAACCTTACAGCATTTGGTTAAATCATCTTCATACTTACAAAATTTACCAATTTGTACTTGCTATGTACCATTACTATGTACAAAAAATGTTTCCATTTATGCTTTTACTTAGCTGCCAAAAACTCTACAACTTGTCAAATAATAATTATAACCACTAAATGCACAATTATTTTTTTAAAGTCAATTTTCAGCAAAACCTGTGATTCACTTGACATTTTGTCCTCAAATAGTAAGTTTTACTGTGAAAAATTTGCAAAACTTGGAATTTTCTTTGTACCTGAAACAGATGTGATTAATATAAAAAAAAAGTAAACCTGATTTTCTTATAATATGCAGAAAAATCTTAAAGGGAAAATCTTCTGGAACAAACACTACTTTCAAGATTGGTCAAAGATATGGTACACAAGGTTTTCAATACAAGTTGGCAACCCTGAAAATTTAAATTCTATGAGAAGCAAATTGCCACCTATTTTCTCTGAAACTAACAATATCAGAGTAAAGATCAACCTTCCATTGGCCACTTGCCTTGCAGTTTTAGCTGTCTTCTTCAAAACCTATCAAAACCCCTGAGTACATGATGCTTAATGATTGCTTACATGTGGCTAGATTACTTAGAATATTTGTAAGCCTTGAACATTTCATAAGTAAAATTATTTGACCCAAATTAACTCTCCTTCACCACCGAAATAGAACAATGAAAAAGATCAGAAAAAGCAACTGTTCTTGTTTTATAAAGCTGGCATGATAAGACTGTGAACTAAGAGGTGGTTAGAGATATGCAGATGAGAAGTGGAATGAGATCACAAATAGACTAGATTTAAATGTTACACTATGCACTACATGAGTAACAAAAAAAACAATTGTTTATATACATCTCCTCATAGAATTGCTATTCAATATTTACCCTTACATGATTGTGAAAATACAATAATGGAAATTAGTGGTACTAAAGAAATAACTGATGTATAGGTGTACAGGGTGTATTTGTATGTGAAATAACTGAATGCTCACCAAAGATTGAGCCAGAGAATGCACCACTGCTTTACAAGAGGTGGATGTAGCAAAAGTACAATCACTTCTTCTTTAAAGAGAGGTGAATTATTATCAGGTATCTGTGTCCTCTCCAATCTCTGACACTACAGCAATAAGGACTGTGATGTCATCTGGTTTTCCCCCTGTGATGTTTATACCTTCACCTCTAGCTTGCTGGGCAAATGGAGATAAATAATTTGGATCAAATGAACAGGTTCTCGCTAAATTCGCCAGTGAGTCTGTAATGTGTTGTATACTTTCTGTGCTGTGGTCCTGAAGGAAAATTAAGGGAAAAATAAAATCAACATCAGTTAGATATTAGTGTACTTATATTTATTTCACTTTCTTTCTTTGCAGTTATTAGCACCACCATGCTATAAAGTTATATATGTATGTGTTACTGCATGTGAAGTGCACACAGACTTCACTCAAAGGACAGTAGTTCTTGAGCTGACTCTGACAAAACTCTTCACAGAGGCCAATTTAAATTACCAATTCAGTTGACAAAACCAAATTACCTTTGTGAAAAAAATGGTAAACTCATAACATAAAATTGTTTTCCATTCTAAGCTTCATCTCCTGTACACTTATCTTTGAACACCATACTAAACACACCTCAAGTTGTGACAATTGCTCAAGTATTTGTTCTGTTGATACATTATCAAACAAGCCATCTGTAGCCAACACAATTAAATCTCCATGTTCAACACTGAAGGAAGTACTCTCTGCTGCATCCAAGCTACAATAAGAAACATCAATATTAGCTTTTAAGGTATCAAGCAAGTATTTTCTGGGGTAGAGTGCTTGTCCAAAAAAATGTTTCCACCACCTCCCCTTCCCCCTTGGGTATTTCGACATGTTTCCATGACATTTTGCCTATATTTGTTTACAATCTTGGGTGGAAAGAGAGATGTACATGTACTTGTGTAAGAGTAAAAGGATAAAGTGTTATGCAGAAGGATACAGTGTCATGACCCACCCAAGGCTGGCAAATATCCTAATCTAAAAGGTCCAGTGGGCTGGATGTTTAGCTACTCTGCTTACCACCATGCCTCTTCATTTGAAGTTTAAAATATTCTTGAGGCAAATTGGTTCAAAACATAGAAAAAAACATGAAAAAAAGACATGAAACCCAAAACCAAAATGTTGATTTTTACTTTTTTTTCACTTTTAAAACATGATTTTGCCTTGTAATATGGCTCCTTTTGTTTTTTGGAAAAACCTTCAATTGATGATGAAAATGAATGAGTGTACAATTATTACTCTTATAAAAAATACTTTTTACTCGTAACTGCTCCATTATATAAAGCAATTACAACACTATTCACACAGGCAAGTTTCCTTATGCAAACCTGTCTTCTATGACAGCTCCAGCTTGTCCGGGGGGTGGGATTGCCAGCTGATAAGGAGTGTTGAAGTAATGTTGTTGCTCAGATGACTGGTGCACAACTGAACCTTGGCGGATCACCAAAAATCCAGAATCTCCAAGATTTGCTGAATGAAGCATCTGGCTTTTCTTGTCCAGAACCATTATACAAGCAGTACTGCTACCTATTTTTAGCAAGAAGTAATGAAAGAGATTAAAAAAGAATGATCATTCATGTTTGCATGTAACTCTTACATTGCAATAACCTGATAAGGCTGAAGTTAGTAAAAATAAATTTGCTTTCAGAAACAGGCATTTAAAGACTTTACTTCCAAAGTATCCTAGAATGACAGTCTGGTTGAGACAGAAAGGAAGTAACTTCTTCCATTATTTTCCTTGCTTTTAACTTTCTACCCTTTTTGGGTAAATGGTCAAGTCTCCTGTAGTAACTATTTTTAACCCCTCTTTTAACTATTGAGAAATGTTATTACTATGCTGTGGCCTCTTAAATTATTAGCGAAATTGCTTTCAATAATTCATAAAACAAAATTAAATGCAAACCCATTTAGAGGTTATTACATGATTGATAATTAACTATTTAGGCCAGCTCAAAGTGGATGTTTCTCAAGCTTCAAAGCAGCAAGGTAAATATACCCTGCTAACCATTGACATTGAGGTGAATATAGGTGTTTTAATACAAACTAAAATAGCTAGATAATAGTGCACAAAAAAAAAAATGATTTTAACTAGCTTATTCCTGCAAGGATTACAATAATTCCCAGCGCAAATCTTGTATGAATTGGTCAGAGGTGAAAGGCAAAAGATATTTGGAGTTGGTGTAACCAATCAGAGCACACCTTTGATGCTATCCACTGTTTCAGTATACAGCTATTTCAATTTACGTTGTCGGATCAAAGCTTCAAGGGTACGGGACAAGACCAAAAGGCGGTATGGGTAGATTAGAATTAATTTTAGGTTTTCGGGGTTGTCGGCGCGAGATGGACATGGAGGCTGAAAATACAATATAAATCTTCGCTGTATGGACGAGGCATTGTTAATTTTGCTGATAATTATTCATTAAGATCCCATATTCCCCTTCGGTCTTGTCTTGTAGGCTTGAGGCTTTGATCCGACAACGTAAATTGAAATAGCTGTATATTAACATGCAATATAGTAGCAAAGGGAGGGTGGGTTGGGAGAATATCATAAAAATTCATCTACTAGGTAGAAAAAAATTAAGCTTCCTGACACTTTATATAAAATTTCATTTACCAAATAGTGGCTCTTTATGCTCTGTTAACTCTTGAAATCCTGCTTTGATAACATTTATTGGGGATGGTGTCTCAAGCCCTCCTTCTATCACAAATCTTTTACAGCTTTCCATGAGAGCACTTGAAAAGAGAGAAGAGTCAATTCCATACTGACGCCATCCACCCACTCCATCAGCAACCCCTGCACGCATGGAAAATAATGAATAGATTAGACATTAAACCATGGTTTATTCAAGAGCAGAGATTGATGTGATTTACACAATTTAAAAAAACACCACATAAAATTTGTCTCAGAGTCTCAGGATCACCCAATCAAGAAACTCTTGATTGTTAAATAAATTCTCCTGGTCGATACAAAGGGAAAGTACAGAAAACTGTATGGAGAATATCCACACTGAAATCATGACTAGTTTGAAAGCTGCAATATAACATTCACTTTAAACTCTATGACCTATTACTGACTCTAGTGCCTTTCTCCTCTTTGTTTTCTCACTGACTACACTATACAAATAAGTTCAAACACCTTTTTGAATTCACCTTTTAACCCCCCACTCCCCCACATGGAAAAGTAAAAAAAAGGCTCATTGGAACCTATTTGGCTAGTTTCTAGAACAAACTCTATTAGCCCTGAAAGTATATGTACATACAAATGATATCAACATAACCTAGTTCAAACAAATATGATAAGAATATTGCACTCATAAAATATTGTGTATTCTTGTTGTGAACTCATGCATAACTATATAATCAGAGGTACCATATAGTTGTGAAGTATTAGTCACTTTATTGTCACATTTGATGGGCATTTTTACATCCTCAAGTGGAGAATTTGAAAAAAAGTATGCTGAAAAATGACCTTGACAAACAAAACAAACTTGAGTCTCTTGCTTTGTCTGCCCTGATTTACTGCACAGCATCAATATCTCACATCAATAGGACTATGACTAATTATACATAAATCTTGAATGCATCACAGTGTTGCCTAATGATCCCTTCTAAGTCTTTGCAACCAACAGAATTGCCACATGCAAGAACTTTAAGTCAAAAGAGAACAAAACTATGTTTAAACAGTAGAGAGCCAATATACAAAAGGATATTTGCTCTTCCAAAATAGTTAGTTCCACTAACTCATCAAAAATACATGCACCAATATTCAATTTGTTAGTTAAGTGCTACTGAAAGTATGCTTTGACCAACTGAAATATTGATATCATTTCTTCACATTCTCTTTTAAATTCTTGCCACAATAGAGATTCCTAAACGTTATTTGCAGAACAGAAATAGCCTTAAGTACCACTGCCAGCTCTTCATAAAAAGTGATAATTCAATCCAATCAAAATAAAGGAAAATATTAAAAGAGTGAACTGTAATTAACACAAATGGGCTGAAACAAAACCTTAGGTAAGCAGTCAATCGTACTATGTCAATATCAAGAAGTACCATAAGTCCTTATATTAAGCCAAGGAGAGTCAGTTTTTGTGGTAGAAATAAAAGCTGTCCTCAGTTGATAATGAAGAATTTCAAACAAACATTGATAAATTTGTGAATTGACAAAAGAATATCATGACTGTTGTGAAAACAGAGAACTTCGCACGAAACAGAAAGAAGCAATTACGAATTAAATTGTCAACATGAAAGCGGACCAGTATTGAATTAACAATAAGAACAATACTGTGCTCGTACTAATGAACAATTTCTGTGGAGGTTCAAGGCAGAAAAGTCGCATTTTTGCCCGAAATTTCTCAGCTTCAAGTAAAAAAACCTTAAACACTGTCGATCAAAATCCCATCTTTTGTTTAATAAAGGAAATGCATAGCAAGTACCTTTAATTAAATTTCGGAAAAGAGAATGAATTATATAAAAAATACTAAGCCAGACCAGAGAAGTACTTAATAAAGGAGTCTCTGTCGTACTGTATTGGTCGGACAAAATGTCAGCATTTTAGAAAATTACAACTCCTGATTTCGCTTTTTAGACTACAATCATTTGTGCTAAAGTAAGCGAAAGACATCTCTATTACAACAACAGGTCCGACAGGAAATCAGGCTCACAGTATGAGCACATGTATTTGTTTTTTACTCCGAAACGAACCCAATTACCACAGACACCAACTTTGGTAAAATACCACAAAATATTGCATTTTCGCTAGATTCTTTCAAACGACTTGCATTAGAACCGAAATTTTTTCAGCTAAAAGGTCTCAAGTGCTTTAGTTTTCGTCTGATACCATTTTTATAATTTCTCGTGCCTTTGTTTACAGACAATTTGTGTTACATAAGCCAGATTTAGTTCAACATGTACACATTTTTGCCATCCATGAACAAAACGATCGCGATTTGTTTGGAAACAGATCTTACCTAGCACGTCAGAGGCACTATTATGGGCGATAAAGAAGGCATCTTCTCCATGTAAGAATTTGCTTTTTCCCGGGGCAAGATCTTTTGAAAACCCACAACTCGCGGTGATGAGTTGAAGCTTCGAAGAGCTCTGTCGTTTCAGAAGCGGTGCCACAAATTGCCTGGCATGTGAAGCAATCAAACGGCCATAGACAACAGCAGTTTGCATAGCCATTGCCTGTACACTTGATAACTTTCTTACTTCCACATTGTCGACCGGCGGAAACTACTTATTAGTACCAACTCACACGAGATGTGAACCGACATGTTGATTTCCCACAATGCAGTTCGCGTTTTAACTGCGTCATTACTTATGAGACAGCTTCTCTGCATAGGTCCCTAGGGTGTTCGGGACACGTAATACGTTGTCGAGTTATTGATAACCATAAAATCAACACTTGAAGAATCAGATAGTGAAATTACAGAAGTGAATGAGCTGGGAAAAATCTAATCAGTATGAAAAGGAAACATGATGCTGAGGAGAAAACTTTCAGACAATACAGATGCAAGTAATTTGTCTTTTACAACCTTACTTC